AGAGATAGCTTTGAGATTGTGTAAGTATTCGGCAAGAGGCTTACCATCACGGGGTCGAGTAAGTCGTTCCTTGAGACTCATAACTCGTGAGCGAGATCGATTCGCATAGAGACCCTTGAGTTTGTCTCATGCTTCTTTGGAGGATTTGGCGGATGCAATAAGGGTTGCAATTGAGTCAGAGACTGAAATACGAATGGCATGTAACAGGAGCTAATCTTGGCGCTTCCAAAAACTTCTTGTTGTTGTGTTATCAGAAGGGCATGGGTGTGAACCATCGATATATCCGATTAAGTCATAGCCAATCAGGAGAGAATCAAACTGTGCACACCATGTTGGGTAGTTCATAGGCGTAAGTTTGAGAGGAAGTTGAGCGTTAGCAATGGCGATCAATGTCGCGTTTGAGTCAAGAGAAGCTGAGGCAGACTCAGTGAGTGTTGCAGCAGTGGATTCTTGAGCAGCCATGGGAGAGGAATTGGGTTTCTCGTGAGAGATAATAATGCTCTGATACCATATAAAATTCTGAATATTGTTTTGAATAAAGAGCATTGATTTTCATTATTCTTTGTGATGTATATATACAGGTATACAGACTTTACATGATCAATTAGAATAAAAACATATCAATTAGAATCAAAATAGAGTATATCCTAACTATAGATAGTTGCAGATAAATATGGAAATAATTCTGTGAATTAAGCATAGCTAGCTGGTATAGCTAGCTGTTGTCCAATGGGTATGGATAGACTTGTGATGGCTTGGATGGCATAGCTTCTACAATTAGAAAGGCATAGCTAAGTTTTGGGCATCCGTTTAGAAGAAGAATTGAGTTTGGGTAAGAAAGTATTTCCAGATTGGTTGATGCTATGGATAACCAACTATACGGTTAGAGGTATGAGAGGTGTTGTTTGGTATCTCCCTTTTCTCACTGTAAACATCTGCAATCATATTGAGTTTTATGAGAATTTTCTACAATGTGTGGTAAATTAACTAGGCATATAGTGCTTAGAGACTGGAGATTTCAAAAGTGAATAGGATTTTGTAGTCAAGGTGCACTTTCCTAAAGGACCAATGTATATAGATTTCTTTAATACTCGTTTAGTTTGGAACAGAAATATGGGGTGAAAAAAGGCAAAAAAAATAATGATTCGAATGCTTCTTATTTAAAAGAAAGTTTGATCGACTTTGCGGTGATCAATGAAATGAAAAATTGAACATGGGATGGCTGAGGAGACAGCATTAATGAGAAGCCAAGAGTTCAACGCCTTTTTAATGAGCAATTTTCTTTCTTGAGAATACTTTTCTCATTTACTCTTCTGACATGTTGGAGTTAGCATAGTGTTATTGCTTTTTTGTTAAATTTTTTGCCAAGACATTCATTTTGTTCAAAAAAATGTTGTTTGACCTAAGTACTAAAATTTAAGAAATATGAGTCAATTTATAGAAATGAGGTAAAAAATTATATGAAGGGGAATTGAGGTGGTCACTCAGTATTTTTAAGGGCAGCTTGGGAAAAAAAAATTGGTGTTAATAGAAATTTGATGACAACGATTCTTTTTCTTTGGACGAACCATATACACAATCGCTGAATTTGAATTCGAATCGCACTGTTATTTTTTAAGATTTTAGACCTTGTTCCTATTAGCCAAAGGAAAATAGCAAAATGGCAAATGAATTTGAAAAATAGAGGAGTTAAGGTTGGATGAGTTACAAACCTATGAAAATATCAACCATTAATAAGTTGTTCTTGGCTTTTGCTTATCAAAACAAGTCTTACCCCTAACCCACATGTTTCCATTCCAACATGAAGTGAAAAACTTTTATTTTCCTAATATACCCTTAAACAATTCAATAAAGTCATATTTGCTATTTTGTATGTCATTTTCCATTTTTCACTTTTGCTAAGCATTGTAATTCCCTTGCTTGACTGCACTCCTTGTATGCCTTTTGGTATTCTGTCACTAAATGTGTACTTAAGTTCAATCGGCAATATTTAAATGTGGTCATTATACGCATTAAATATACACATACTATAGTTAAATAAAACACAAAGGTGCATTCTTAGAAAAGTACCCATTCTTATTGCTATACAACTGAAAGGATATTTGTACAACTCAATGGAGAATGGTGGTGATGGGAAGGCGTCATTCGAGGTCACTCGCACCTAGCCCTTCAAAGTGTTATTGCTACTATAATTGTTTTTGAGATATTTCCTATTTTTTATATTTGATCTCTTATTTTCAATTGGTCTACGTTGCAAAGGGAGATCTATTCACTGTTGTTCTCAAATTAGTCGATGAAGAATTCAAAAGTTTCTCCCCGAACTATCTATAACATAACCACATCTTCTCTTAAATATATATATATATATATATATATATATATATATATATATATATATATATATATATATATATATATATGTATATATTGATTCATTTTCTGAGCCATGACCAATAGGTACTGATTTAGGTTTGAAGCTCAATTGTGTGTCAAGCTTGTGACGGTCTTCCTCGTGCATCGTCACATTGACTCTTTTTGTGAAATTTCTCTGAAAAAATAAAAATTAAGTTTCCCATCTATCTCTTAAAAAAAATTCATTAGGATAGTCAAATGATTAGGAAGATTTAGGATGAGTTTTCAACTAAAGTTATATATATATATGTATAGTGATTTCCATCTTATTTCTTAATCTATCATTGTTTACGAGAAAGATTGATTTCATCCACCGTTTTCCAATGTAAAAATGTATTCAAAACATACTTCCGATATTTTTTATTAGTTAAAAGCATATTTTGTAAATACATTTTTACATTAAAAATATAGGTTTAAACCATATTTTCCTGTAAATAACTCTAAATTAAGAGATAAACTAAAAATCGTGATACAAATGAAACAAAATCGAAAAGTTACATAATTTGGTCATTGATTCAATTGAGGATACTAAAAATAGTCTCATTTTACATACTTTTTCTCGAGTCGAATAAACAAATAAACATTTTAAGAAACCAAACCCAAAATTCTGCAATTTGTCAGGCTACGCAAAGGCCACATATATTGTGTTTTTTCTCTAACAATATTTCATATTCAATATAATCCTACCCAATACAAGTTTGCAACAAAAACAAGCCTATGTGGTCATTCAATAAATTGGCCCTTCTAGAACTAACTTTGACACAAACAAAAAACTTACGGCCGTCCAAATTTTTATTTCATTGTTATTCGAATTTCATCAACAAGCATATGATCTTTATGATCCAATTAATCAAATTAAATATTTATTATTATTATTACTACTACTACTTTAAATGTAGTAGATTAAGAAAATCTTGGTTTGATTAATCAACTTACACCCATAATGTGTGTTTTGATCTTACCCTTTTTCTTAAACTTATTAATTATTTTTTTAACTTTCATATTCCATAAATATCAAAATTATAATACAAATTCTAGCTTTTCTTCTAACTCTATAACTTCCATATGTTTTGGACTCTTGCAATCTTTCATAAGTATCTATATCTATAAACAAATTAATAATCAAAAGTTAATTGCTCAAGTGCCTCATCTGTATGGTTATTTTTATCACCCAAAAATAAGATATTTATTACTACATCAACTTTATATTTGGCATCAAAACCCAAAATTTATGGGAGACATGTAATTTGAGAAATCATCATCAGTGATTTTTATTGGTTACACAAAATATATTAGTAATTAGCAATAATAAGTGCCTGAAGTGTTGAACTATAAAAAAATTGAGCATTGATCGTACAATATTTTATATTTTAAATAAAAAAAATTTTCTCCAATTATGTAATTTAAAATTAAAGTGAATAGAAAGAAAATAAAAGATAAATATTTTTGAATTAGTGTGGTTGTCTGCCATTGAAGAGCGCGTTTATTGGGTTGTACAGAGAAGATCACATTTTTTAGTGGAGGAAAAAATTGGACTGAATAAATAAAAATTAAATCAATTTTAATCATTATTGTACTTTTAAAAATTGAGAATTCAATATTTTAACTCTTATATTAAATAGATAATGCACACGTGAATGATCAATGTAAACGTAATATTCAAAAATTATAAAAATAAATAAATAATAAATTATAGCTCAAAATAATTCACGTGCAATAACTAGTCTGTATACATTAGTAAGAACTGTGTTCAAATCACTCTATAATACAAAAAATTAAATATCAATCATATAATATATTATATTTTAAATAGTAATATTTTTAATTATTCAATTTAAAATTAAAGTGAAAATAAGAGTGAGGTAGGGGAGAGATAACGAGAGGTAGATATAGATTAATGTGGTTGTTTGACATTGGAGAGTATGAAGGTTAAATTGACTGACATTGGACTCCATACAGAGCAAATGATATTTTTTTTTGAGTGAAAAAGAAATTTGTAATGAATTTTATATCATTGGATCAAAATAGATGCAAAATTTGATTAATCTTAGCCATTATTATGCTTTTATAAGTTGAAAATTCAATTTCTTAGCTTTAATATTAAATAAAGGCTACGTAGAAAAAGTCACATTTTTTTTGCGAGAATTTTTTTTTAGAATGATTTTTACACTATTGAACTCTAATAAATCTTAACTTTTGTTTTTTCTTTTTTTTTTTAAGTTAAGAATTCTAACTTTCTAATTGTAATATTAGATACACAGCGGAGAGGGAGAGAGAGAGAGAGAGAGTAATGGATAGTGGACATGGGCTAAACGGTCCGGCCCACCTTTTTATAAGAATGTGTCTAACATTCGACATGGGTTGGGCTTTAAGGACGGGCTTATGTTTGTAAGTGTTTGTTTAACTCGAATTTAACAGTCCCAAATGGCGTCGTGTTTAACTCGAATCTAGCAGTCCCAATGGCACCGACGCCATCCTTTTTCTTCCGATTATTCTATGCAATTTTTATTAAAAAAGGTTTTTAGGTAAATTATAATATATTTTATTAATTTTGTACAGCGAATAATTTATACATGTTGGAATATAAGAATTTGTTGGAGTTGAGAGAGCCCAAGCCACCTTGCAAATCACTCATGTCACGCGGCAAAGGCAAGAGGAGAGGGTGGCTCATGCCACTCGACAGAGGCAAAAGCCAAGGGGCTGCCCTAACCACTTGGCAAAAGCTAGCCCATGCCACTCGGCACTTGGGGCTTGCCCCTTGCCACTCGGTATTTTGCCAAGCTAGCCCTTGCCACTAGGCAAAGTCAATGGGCTTGGGCAAGTCTTTCTTCATCTACACTTGGCACACAAGGCAATTAAAGATGAGTCATATTCAGTGAAGGATCAACCAAAGACCTCGAGTCCTAATCAAATGCCCCTCCGAATATTTACGAGCCAGGGAAAAGACACCAAGAAGTTAGAATCTAAATGAAATGCTACTCCAAGCGATTAGGAGTTGGCGATAGGGACCAATGACCAAGAATCCTAAAAATCTAACTCTACTCCGACCTTCTAGCACCTGATGACGGAGTTGAGTCAATCATCCTAGAGTTTGGGTTCTAGTGGAACACATCTCTCCACTACTATAAATAGAGCCCCTTGATACCAGGTAATGCAATTCAATATGATTAAATTCACTCAATACTACTCTCTATTTGTAATCTGACTTAAGCATCAAAATCCCTTTGACCGATTTCGGCCGTCATTCATCCAGTTGTTCTTTTGTCTTGCCAGCATCACGAGACTTCTTCACTAATCTCTGTATAAGGTGGACATTCATAACGCAAAATTGTCCCCGCATAGAATTCAAATATAAGAAAACATTAAATATATGATACAAAGATATAATGTGATACAACATAAAACCTATATTGATGTATTATTCTCTAAAATTTGATCATTTAGTCATTTGATAATTGATCACATAATACTCAACACTATAAATAGAAATAAAGTACTATAACTCAATATAATTTGGATATTTGTCAAATTTCTATATTTCCTATCAAGTCAATAATAAACTTATCCATTAAAACTCTTCCAATACGTTTCATATTTCATTCAGAATTCTCACATTAATTATCTAACGAACTCTTTTTCTTGACAATTATAGAGTTTGAGTTAAATTTCAATAGCCTCCCTTGAACCAAACTCTTCAAATTTAGTCATGTCCCAAGATCGGGTGCTTAACATCCATGATTTTGATCCTTCAATTTTTTTAAACACTAGTGCAAACTTACTCTTTTGAGTCATCACAATCCTTTATGTCAAGAACCTGCTCCTTGGCATATATCATATGTGCATCTCTGTCCGAGTCTTACATACTCTTAAATAATTTTAATAGTCAATATTTCATCATTCCAAAATAAAGTTTAGTGACTCGTAACCCACGAGACACCACATATCGTTATTAGAGTTATGTGAGCCCAACAAACTCTTATTCATAATACTTAGAGAAATTTAGTCAAATTTCAACAATCTCTCTTGAAAAACCAAACTCTTTAAATTTACTCATGGCCAAGATCGAGCATAACACCATTGATTCTGATCCATCAATTTGTTTGAGCACCGTGGTGCAAACCTGGTCTTCTAAGTCACCACAATACTCATTACTCTCAAGAACCTGCACCTTGGTTTGTATTATTTGTGCATCTTTGTCCGTGTCTTATCTATTAAAATCATTAATAAACGTAATAAAATACCTACTCTCACCATTGTAAGGAACTTTAACAAAAAATGAATAACTCGAGGTCTTTTTGTTTGTCAATCTTGTTTATCAGTGACATTAATGACCAGATAGAAACACAGAGATTTAATAGTATCTAAATTATATTGAGTTATAATATTTTATTCTTATAAATAATATTGAGTATTATGTAATCAATTATCAAATGACTAATTTTTTGAGTAAATAATACATTTATATAAGTTTTTGGCCCATGAATATAAATACGATATACCAAGTTGAGTATACTGTATCGAATCATGTTATATTTTTGTGTCTTATTTTCATTATTTTTTATTTTCAAATTCCTATCTTCTAACAATCTCTAAATAATTAGTAAAAATTAGTGACATCTGTTAATTTAATCACCCATACAAATTTTGATAATGGTAAATATAGTATTGCTCTAATTAGCCAAAAATAAAAAATATTAAAATGTTAGGGGGATACCAAAAATAAAAAAAAATAAAAAAGCAAAAAAATCTTCAACCCTCAAAATCTTCTATTCAAACAAGAGGACAGGGACTTGTGTCGAGGAAAGAGAAAGGACAAGGATAAAGGACTTGATGGGTCGATATACTCAGGTGTCTGGTCATTTGCCTTGGTATTAAGCTTTTCTTCTTCATTGCTTGTTTTTTTGGTACAGTACGTTCCGCAACCGTACACAGAACAACCTGTCACTGTTTTAGCAAACCCTACGGCTCACACCTCGACACGAAGGTTCATTCCCAAAACCAATTTGGTGGGTCCCCCACCAAATCTTTGTGCATGTAATAGCCAACCTAGCAAACAGGCATGTATCGTCTCCAGGCCTCGTTTGCCCCGACCACCTCAGGCCTACGTATGTATATATGGATGTTTGGTGTGTATCTATTTATATAGCATCAGCTGTTTCTCTCTCTAGACTGTGTCAATTGGGATAGCTTCTAGTGATGCCAGTTTAATATCAAAAAGCTGTACTTTGCCAAAAATATGCAATCTGGAGACAGTCACAAATACAGAGAGAGAGAGAGAGAGAGGGAGGGAGAGGGAGAGGGACGGACATAAAATGATAAAATATTCTTCAGCAGAAAGGAGAGAGAAGTGGTGAAAAGACATTAGCATGGGCATTGGCCCTCAGTTCTATTTCTTGGTCAAAAAGGACGGCTCAGTAATTGCATGGCGCTCTCTCTCTCTCTCTCTCTTCCACCATATTTCTTATATATATATCATAAATATTTCATATATTAATATTTGAAGAAATTTATTTCAAAAACTTTTCTTTAACTAAAAGTGATTTGACCACTAGTCCAAAATAATAAACAAGAAAATTAAAGCTTCTACACCCCTAAACTCTTTTATCCCCTTCAATTTTAAATAGTTTGTAACTTATTCTTTTAAGTTTTAATTTCAACAAATAATTTCTTTAAGTTAAAATATTTTATAATTAATTTCTTTTTTTTGGTCATTAATTAATTTCAATAATTCTTTTTAGACAATAAAAATTGATAAAGTTAAACCTATCAAATTCACGTAATCCTTATTTTATTAAAAAGAGATAATTATTTTTATACTTATTTTTTTCTTGTACCAAATATTCATAGTTCCCATTATTCTTACATTCTTCTATCCTCTCCTATCTTGGATGTTTAACTCACATTTTTTTCTCTCTTTCACTAAAAACCATTTTTTCCCTACAATACAATGAGGCGGAGACGAATATTTCCTTATTAGTAATCTTGACTTTTTTGTTTCTTTAATTTTTAGAAACAAAATTAGTATCTCAAGAAAAAAAATATAAAAAATAATGTACAAGATGAATGGTGTAACAATTCTTTCAAGTATTCAACCACTATTATTAGTCAATTTAAAACTTGGAAGGAACAAATTGCAACATTTAAAACAAAAAAAATTAATTATAACAAAATATAGTTGGAGGGGATATATTATAATTAACCCTTAACATTAACCATTATCACCACTATCGTTACTATAACCATGAATGCCATCTTCACTGCTGTCATCGTTATAATCGTGAACACCATTACAATTGTCATCGCTACAACCATGAACACTATCATTATTTTATTATTATCGTCACTATCACCACCTTGACCATCTTTGCCACTATTGTCTTTGTCACCAATGTTGCCACCATTGCTATAGTTGTCATGGTCATCTCCAACCCCCCCCCCCCTCCCCCCACCGTCTCAACCCAGCTAGAACACTACCATCACCACCATTTTATCATCTCCACTATCACTAACATCATCTTCATTGTCACTTCTATTGTGACATTCAAATAGTACCCATTTAATAAAAGTATGAAAAAGGTATCATCAATCTATTATGCTGTCTTTTCTAATTCGTTTTTTTTTGTAAGCTTTTTTAGGTTTGCACTATAGCTTTTTAAGGTGAGCCCTTTTCTTATTCATCATTATTTATTGACCGTTATTGGTTTTTTTTAATAATTGCCCAGCTATTCTTTATTTGGATGAATTTTATCCTTATCTCCCAAAAATAAAAATTCAACACAAATACCAGCTTGAAGCATCCATGGTTGCATCATCCGACCAATTTTGATTGATTACTAATTCAACTCAGTCACCTCTATGTTCGATTAAACTTGTTTTGCTCGATTAAGGGCACTTTATCTCTCAAACACAATCATTTCCTCTAATTTGCATGTGTTACTTATCACGTGTCTTTTCACAATTATCCCATCTTTATTTTTATGTGTTATTTGTTACGTGTCTTTTTACAATTGTTTCATCTTTATTTAAGACATTATAAATCACTTTAGGAAACTTGTTTTCAAAGTAAATAATTTTAAAATTATAATATTTTATTAAATATATTCAAAACTACCAAATAGAGGGATTAAAAAACCTGGCTTTTGCCGCTATATCTAGGGAAGATATGATTGTTGCAATCCAAATCCATCATTTTGAGCATATCCTTTTTGTTCCCATGGGTATGAAGAACAAGTCACATCTGCTGGTTAGCAGGGCACAATCTGAGGAACTTGTAGCTCACGCTTTACTCTATTTTAGCACACTCTGATTAAAGACAGTTCACGCTTCCTTTATTTTTACCACATAATCTTACGATCTGATCATGAACAATCTCTTCTTCTTCTTCTAAAAAGAAGTAACCCTTTTCCATACTGGATCTTTATTTGATTACGCAGGCTTCGTGATTATGGCGAAACGTAGCTAAAAGTTATTTATGACTTATAAAACACGGATATTTCGTTAAAATTGACATACATGTATTGAATATCGTATCAAATATAATACTTGTCGAATATTCAAAAATACGTATCGAATACACTTTTTAAATATCCGATAATAATTAAATATTATGATACTTCACAGATATTTTTAATCAATCAACATATATAATTTTTTAATTAAACTTTTAACATCTCTTTTCGAATTCACATATTATACAATACATTAAAAAAAAATTTATATTACTGCAAAGGCACATGAGTGTTTTTTAAATATTATCTACAATTACATGTCAAAAGAATATAAAATAAAACTATTACAT